AGCTGATTAGAGCCAGGCCAGCTGGTAGGAATGCTTGAAATCGTAAGGTTCACTTGTTCATGCTGAGGATTTCCCTTTTCTCCCCTCCATGTATGAGCTGGATGCCCACATGTGGAAATTTTGATTTTTTTTTTTTTTTAAAACACTATCTGATCTAAGGGCCTCACTTCATTGGTACAGTCTGGATAGGGGTGAAGTACCAACGTAGGTACCAAGTTTTGTGTGGCTCCAAATGTGATTTTTTAAATGTATGGTATTTAATAAGCGAATTTGCTTAACCCCAAACTTCATCTTAAAAAACAAAGTGTGGAATTTCAGTGCTGGTGAAAGAGTATCTTGACAGTATCTTGGTGAACGAAGTCCTCTATTTACCTATACACTGCCTAATATGCCACCATTTTGTGGGGGGAGTTGTAAGGGGGGTAAAGAAAAGAGATCACTTAAAAAAAAAAAAAAAAAAAAAAAAAAGAGTAATCGGAGTAGTTTTGTCTAGGGCCCATACAGGTTTTGATCTCAGACAATTGATTCCAGCTCCCCCATCTCTCATCATCATATCTTGCACTAAGACCCACAACATAGCCATTAGAAATTTAATTCCTGAATTAGGCTGGTTTCAAATTGGTGACTATCCAGTTTCCCAATAAGTGCCAACGTTGATACCTTCAAGAATGAAGCTTGCTTTCTTGAAAGGTAAGTTTGAGAACCCAAGTTCTGAGCTATTTGAAGCTTAGCCAGCCAACATCTTCTACTGTGGATATAGAGGCACCAAACCCCCACCCCAAAATCCCATATTGTTTTCAGGCTCCCACAAACACTCCATAATCAAGTGCCCTACCCTATTCTTGAAGGGACAGCTCCCAATGACCAAAATTGTTAGTCTGTATAATCAATTTTTGTCTTAAGTCTTCTCTCAACTCTGATTCACTCATCTTGAGGTGTAAGCTCCTCAAGGCAGAAACTGTCTTGTGCATCTGTACAGCACCTAGCACAATCTGAGCTCCAAATGCAATTGGAAATTTTGAACATCATTGTAACTACTTCCCACATTAGAATTCCTTCTGGTGGAACTTCTAGCAAATTCCATATGCTTTGTCCATAGTGGACCATATCCAAGCCTTTCAAATGTTGCTGAGAATATTAGTCAGTCTATTTAATAATTCCAGCTGCTAATCAAAAAACAGTTTGGACATTAAAAGAATTCTTATTTTCTGCTAAGCATGTATGCACACACATGCGGGGGGGGGGGCGGGGGGTAAGAGGGGGAAAGGTGGAAATAGAATTGGAGGAATTCTATACCATACAATATAAAGCCTAATCCCTAGGAAAGAGATACATTTAATAGCATAGTAGGAATTTAAAAAATACAAAGGTTTTTATGAAGGTTTTGCTCCAAGAATGCTACTTGAAACTAATCTTGCTCAAAGGGCAAAAAACAGCTACCTACTTTTTCCTGTCTTCAACACCCACGCTATGCACCAACAAAGAGAAACCACTAAGAACTCTCAACCTCACGGGACTCATATTCACCAGGTGTTATTGTGGTTTTCATATTATTGTGTGTGCGCGCATCACTTTTGCTGCAGCTACCCAAACGTATTTCTTTGCTCTTTCGCCTACCCACCTATCTGATAAGGAGTGTACTGTTATAGCGGCTTCTATTCTACAGCGCTGGAGATATAGAAGAGCTTATAGCTTGTTTTTCTGCAAGAAGTAAATTAAAGATCAGTTACCAAGGTGGGGGGGGGGGAACCACAGGAGGAGAAAGTAGCCTCCCCCTAGTAAAATTGAACGCAAAATTGACTTTCATCTCTGTCAAGAACAGTGTCAATATCAGCTCATTAATTTTCCTTTTTCGATGTGTAGTACACATCTTGCACTTTACTATAGAGTTTAGTTTCTGATTAAAGTCCAGCCAAAGAATCAAGTATGCATGGAGAAAAATTTTAGTGTTTTAAACATCAGCCTTTCGAGTCATTTTTCCATCGTTCTGAAATTTTCAGTAATCTTGACAACAGTGTTTTCCACCCAGCATTTTTTCTAAGCATGATTAGTGACATTGTTGTTATTCCTCTCCCAAATCAAATTAATCTTGACAATCACTCGTGAAAACTTAGCTACAAACATCACTAGTACTCCCCTGGCTCTTGCATTCAGGACTGTATGTGTTGCACATAGAGATCCAGAGGAAAAAAGCGCAAAGTTGAATGCCTGGACACAATTTGCCCACCCCAAACTGCAAGCCTGAGGCAGAAGCGGCCCCACTGGCCTGACTGGTCCCTCCCCCAAATATAGAAGTCAAATTACACCTATGGTTGAATGACCCAACCCTGCTGACAAACAGTGCACAGCTTTACGCATGTACCCAATTCCATTAAGATCAGTGGAATTATTCACATGCATAGAGTTAAGCATATGGAGCATTGGCAGGATCAGGGCCCGAGCTTGCCACAGGACTCTCTGTTGCTTTTTACAGATCCAGACTAACACGGCTACCCGTCTGATACTTGGCCCGAGCTTGTATCCCTGTCCTCCGAAGGAAGAGCTGGTTTTACACTTTTGCGTCTAATATCCTGAAATAAAATTGTGTTAATTAGAAAGGGCCACCACAGCTAATATCCATTCAGTTTAATGAGCATTTACTGGATTATCTGAACATAAGCAAGTCAGACTGTTCAGACAGACAGAATTTGAAATCACCTCATTTTTCACACTAACACCTCCAGGCAACAGATGCGGTAAACAAGTAGTTGCTTTGTTATGCAAATGAAGACTCTCAGGTATACCACAAGGCTACTTCACACACAAATGGTCAGACTGACACCACTGATGAGAGCTTGGGTCTCTTAAACAGACTTATCTAAACTGTTTTTCAATCTTGCTATCTGCAAGGAAACAGAGGGAAGTTGAATGGTGACAGTTAGGAGCCCAACAAAGGTAGAGAGCAGAAGTGAGGAGGTGGGTAAGTAACTGCTTACCACATAGGTTGTGGTTAATAGCAAAGTAAGCGAGTATAATCTTCTGGATGTAGTATTTTGATCACACACACTAAAAGACAGCTGTCAAGTATAAAAACAAAAGATGATAGTTCATTTAAACAAAAACAAAAAAAAAAAGATTAACTCAAGTATGTAGCCTTGTGGTTAAATCTGGAGATTTCAGTTTATGGTCAACATTAGTATATTACAAGAATACTATTTTACAGGAATTGTGGTGCTGCTTTAACATGCTCCCTTAGACATTAGGCTGGGAGTATTACAATTAAATGATTCTGCTTTCTATCCCCCACAATATCAACTAAAATATTTCTACAGTAGAAGGAAGCTGATCAATTTAGTCTGAAATATCAATTATTCTACTTTCTGCAGAGGTGTATCAGTAGTGTGCAAGTAAATAACTGATGTCCCATTGTTACGCATTTAAGAACAAAACATTTTGAGATTTTAAATTCTCTAGTCATTTTTATAGGGCAACATTAAGAAGTTGGATTTATTTTGCTTCCAAAACCTGCACTCATGTATTGTTTCTTGGAGGTAGAGGAAGTAGCACAGGGTCTTATTAAATCCCTGATCTTCAAGGAGACATAGTCTGAGCATTAAAGACTGCATCCTTTTTGTCAGCAAGTCAGAACTGCAATTTAATCGGTCAAGAATTTTTATTTTACATATCTTTCAGCAGAAGCCAGTATAGAAAGGCTACATGGGATATAGTTTGAATGCTTCAAAATTAAGCATATATAGACCTTCAAGCTGAAATAAGAAACATCTTATTCAAGACAGATTTTTTCAAGACACAAAACTATAAAAGCAGTATATTGTACACACCTTTGTTTTTATTCTTTCAAATGTAAATAAGGTTGCATAATATAAGACAAGCATTTGCAGTAGGTTTCAGAATGCCAGAATCTGTTGTGTCATTCTGAATTCAAGCACCTTTATTTGGTGGAGACGGTCTCCAAAGTTTAAGTATAATGTTTTGCTGTTAAAAATACCAATACGGATCAAACAAGTTTTAAAAACACCACACACAGGAATGAAGTTATAGGGTAGAGAAGTTGTCAACTAAACACTTTCGCATCTTACTAGCTCTTTGTTACTAGAAAAAAAATGCAATGCATACAATGAATAAAATGTATGAAATTGTTTTCCACTGAAATTATGATTCTACAACAGGAGACACAAACAACTTCTGGTTTTCCAAGGCAATTCTGCTAATGTGATTTCCTCAACTAGAATTAAATTTACAAAAACTTCCCACTAATTTACAAAAACAAGTGGGAATTTAGTATACAGCTGTTAATCAAGCACACTTCTACACCAATCAGAGAATATTACTCATCTTGACAGTAAATCAGGGCTAATGGCCACCACATGGTAGAGCACAAACACAAAAGTTGCTCTCAGCTACATCTTACATAGTTATCTTAGTTCATCCACAATTGTTTCACATGCTATATCTTCAACTATGGTTATTTTTCCTAGTGACAGTCAATCTCACAGACCCGACAACTTCACACATAGCAGCCTGTGTTAGGAATAAATATCAGCTAAGAACGAGTAGATGAGGAAAAACATTGGTCAGCTCTTTTTGAATGTCATGTACAGATTTGCAATTCCAGCAGTCCTACCCCCAATCCTCTATTTTCCCTCCTAAGCAGGAGAGACTAAAGCCAGTATAGTAGTATTTCTGTCCTTCCTGTCACTGTAAAGGTAGCATTTACACCATTCCATCACAATTTATTCCATAAAGTCACATTAAAAGGTATCTTTTTCAGCCTTATTCAAACACAAAACTCGATACTTCAGTTATTAGATTTGCACCTTTTCCTCCACCAACCCAATCAAAATCCTCAGGAAGTTTATACACCAAATGAAAGGAGCATACAGAATAGCAATGCATTGTTCAGTTTAGTTGTATTTAACATAAATAATATCAAAAGTGTAATATACTGAACAGAAAGCAATTTGTCTCTCCAAAGACTATTTGTATAACAGGTAACTCACTGTTCTAGGGATGGGTGGAGACAGAGATCCATTAGACATGTAGGGGTCATTGTTCATATTTGGCATCATGATATACCCAGAATAACCAGAGTATGACGGGCCTTTGCTGTATAAACCACCATCCGGATGTTTTCCTGGGAAAGAAAATAAGTGGAAGCTAAATTAACAACCCCTAAAGTTTTTTCTGGTACATTAGAGGCATTTTACAGTAAGAAATACACAATACCTTTTAAAAAATATTTGGGGGACTGGAAGGGTGCATATTGCTAGGGACTTCCATTTTATTTTTATTGCATTTCTGACAGCAGTTACTCCCTTAAATGGCTTATTAAACAGGCATTTGTTAGGAATTGCACTTAAGATATGGGAAGACTTCAGCACAGCCAGTCTATTTTATGAGTCTATTCAAACACAAACAGAGATTGGACTAGGATGATTTGCATAAGAGCTTGGAAGAATAGACACACACGCAATGCACTACATTAGATTCTAAAGCTACTTGGTTGTCTTTGGTTTTGCCCCCCATAATTTTTAGAAACCGTAAGAGAAACACCATTTCTAGGCTGTGTTGGTGCATTTTCATTGCATGAACAACAAGCAATGCTACAGACATCAAATACCAGCAATGGAGATAAAATTTATAAAGCAGTAGTTCTTTCATTTTTGGTAGCATCTATTGGAACTGTCCTGCATATGGACTTCTCCCATCAGTTACACAGCTGGTTGCAGGAAAGTGCAGTATTATGGTTAGACAGAGCCACTTCCTTCACTAACTGACATACTGCATGTATGAACAATTCTTTCTGGTCATGCTAATTGAAAGTGATTAAGGAGAATAGGAATACAGGCTGGTGTACAAGGATACCCTACTGCTTATTGGGGCCTATTCAAAACAAAGAGGGTTCCACTTCTAATTTGTTTAATATCTAATTTAAATCATAAAAGACTATTAAGAAGGACCAGGACTGAAGAAAAGCTGAAGCCCCAAACTTTATGTGGAACTCTCATTTTAATTCTAATGGAGATCATCCTCCTTACCAACTAACCCCATTATAATAATATACTGAAGATAATCCTACATTACTGTCCAGTTTTCTAAACTAAAAATGTACACTGTCAGTTTCACTCATCTTCCTTAATGACGTATTAGATTTCACTAATTTGCGCATCAAAATGTTAGAATGTTGTTCCTGATTTTAAGGCTTTTTTTAAGTGACAGACTTGGGTTGGAAAGTGAGCATACAACTTCTTAATATACATAACTCAGTAGGATTGTCAGAAGGAGGGAAGAGCGAAGATTTATATATGAACTACTGATATTCTAAAAATAGTTATTTCTTCAGCAAAAAGATCTGTTTGGCCTACTTACTTCAATTGGCAAACAGCTGATATACCATTTAGTTACTGAAGTTAGATGAATAAACAGCAAATCTCTTTTTTGCTCAATTTTGAAAATGTTTGGATTTTTTCAATAAATACAGATCACATTTTATATACAAGTTAAACTGATTGCTTACTAAAAGGCAATTACATCTGTGTACACATTGAGAAGAACATAAAGTAACAATGTAGAGTAAAGAATAAGCACATCTCACCTTCTTCAGAATGTTCTCTGCCTTTGTCATGATAGGATTCCTGAGCTTGGGCTTGCCTGGAAACCTAGCCACACAGAATCCACCATTAAAGAAGGTATTTTTATGCATATCTGTTCACTTTTGCTTAGCACTCGATCTTTCAAAAAAATTATTAAGTGTCTAGGTCAGGAGAAGAAATTGTATATTTGTCCTACCTCATGCTAAAAAGGAAGTGTGCTAAAACATAGAATAGTCATTTTTATTACAAATTTAATAACCATGTGCTTCTACAAAGCAGTTCTAGCACAAGTAGTGCACTAAATTTACTAAAGGGGCTTATTTCTTAAGAATTCTTTAAGCTTTAGGAACCAAAATAGTATTCCTAAATTGGTACCACAGAATAATGAAAATTGAGTGCCCCACTATATGGGCTTTTAAAAATTCCATCCTTGTTCTTAAGTTGTTTTCATATTAGTGAATTGCTACCAAAACAGTTTGTGCAAATCCTTTAAAGAGTTTACGATTAATGCTCTGACCTTTGATTTTACCAAAGAAATTTCATGGCTACTTTAGGCCTAATGCTATTATAGGATCCTGTGACTCATATGAACTTGCTTGTTCTGGGCTATGGAAACAGACATATGAAGGAGAGAGAAGGTCCTCCTGCATACACACTAAAAAGGTGTTTAGCACTCATTTAAAATATGTCAGTGCAACACTGCATATTCCTTTATTTAATTTTTTAAAAGGCTATTTTTACAACATGCAGTTTGGCTTGATCATGAGACAGGCTGGAAGGGAGAAAAAAAGCCAACTAAGCTTTTGGATAGTCCCTGAATGGAAGTTGCAGTAGAAGCCAAGAACCAGCATGTCAACTCTGACAAGTGAAAGGTTGTTTGTTAGTTGGCAGTGTTAATCTACAGTCAAAAATAAGACTTCCGGAGTCAAAGCAAGGTAACTACTAATGTGTTCGTTGGTGGCTTATCTCAGTATCGCAACCCCAATTTCTGACTATATTAGCTTATTGCAAATGAACTCCCAATCAATATTGTTACTACAGATTCACCTTCTATTACTCCCCCCCCCGACACACACAAAAAATCCATGCCCATTCATTAGTTACTAGAAGTAGCACTATATTAACTCCACCAGTGCAGTCCATTAGTTGCTCATTCTAGTTTCTTAGGATCACTGCCAATAGAAATGCAGTGATTAGGGAGAAAAAAAATGGTTAATAAAATGTTTGAGATGTGAGCAAACTCAAATCTGAGTCTGCACAAATCTTGTCCAGCAATCTCAGATTGTTATCCAAATCCACCACTAAAAACTAAACACCAAAAATTCATGGAGTGAATGCATCAGATCTCAGGCACCAGATGTTTCCCCCTTCTTCCCATGGCAAGAAGTTAGCCATCTACAAAAATCTGACTCCCAAATGCAATGAATTGCCCCAAATCCCTCTGTGTTTGAGGGTAAACCCCAGGGTTTTTTTTTTCTAGGTCTGCCTCTTAAATGTTTTCACAGGCCAATGCATTTTACTAAGATAGAAGAGTGACATTCTCCCCGCAAAAATTCCTATCAGATGCTGACAGATGATCTGCAACTTCCCCCCCCCCCCCCCCCCCCCCCCCTTTTTTTTTTTTTTTAAGGTAAAAGGTCTAGTTAGTTCCCTCCCACAAGCACCCACGTGTCTCTATTTACTCTGTTCTGATCGCTTACTGTACTATCAAGGTGCTCGAGCCGAAGAAGCCCCTAAGCGAAGAACAAGCTTGATAATGCACAGCACATGGCCCCCAAAAGGGGGTTTTATCGCAAGACGGGCTGGAGCACACGAGACAGACCGGGAGAGCGCCGACGCGGTCGTGCTGAATCGATCAGCACGGGTCTCCCAACAGTCTGAGCCCAAAGTTGGGGGCAGATCAAAGAGCCGCCGGCAATGAATGAAGTACTGCTATTGCCCAGGCTCTGCACACATCTGCCCGGTTTGCAAAGAAGGTCTCAGTGTTCGCTCTTCCACCACCCCCCTTACACACTCCCAGGTGCCTGCCCTCCCATTCATGGGAAACTTGGCGTATTCGTTTACAAAGCGCTTTGGTCAAAACCGCGTCTCACTTGGCGGCTGACGACGTCCTGTTTTCCTTTGCACCCCCGCCGGTCCCTTCCTTTCCCCTGCATTTTTTAAGCCTCCACTAAAAATAGAGGTGCCAGGAGAGGTGCACACAGTGCTGCTTGGCTTGCATTTGACTGTATCGCCTTTAATTCATCCAGGTCTATTAACCCGATCCAGGACCCTCGAGGTGTTTAACTGTAGAGTCAGAGAGGCCAGGCTGGAATCAAGGTGCTTCAGAGCCCTATAATGAGCAAAACCGTGAAGAGGCGTGTTGGTCTTCCCTGGCCTAAGCCCAGGAGTGAAGTCTCTAGAGCCGCCCCCTCCCCAGATCCCTTATCCGGGTGTCTCTGAACACTTGGCCTCACGAACTGCACAGCAGCTGTCTGCCCTCCCTCCGGCCCCCTTACCTCATGCCCGTTGCTGTTGGGGGTGATCTCTGACTCGTTAACGAGAGAGGACTTGATGTCGGCCAAGTCTCCTTCTTCCTCCGGGTGGCTGATCTCCGCGAAGATTTTCTCCTTCTGAGGATCGCCTTCGTCTTTGAAAGGGATCATTTCATCTGTGGCGCACAGCTCCGGATCCCCCCCACCGCCTCCTCCGGCTCCCGGCAGCTGAGGCATAATTGCTCTTCAATTCCTGCTCCGCCCGGGGAATAATAATAATAAAAAGGAATAATAAATAATAATATTATTATTAAGTCTTTACGAGCCGCTTGTCCTCACTAGTCTAAGCCTCCCCCTCCCGAAAGAGAGTGGAGGCCAGGCAGGCACAACCACCTGGGGGAAAGGAGGGTCTGTCTGACTTGTCGGTCTGTCTGCTGCTGTGCGCGGGGGTGGAGGGGGCGCATGCACTTTTCTCCTCCCCCCTCCCCCGGTTTCCGTTGTGTCTGCAAGAGGACAGAAGAGTTTGGAGAAGTTGGGGCCCTTCTGGGTCTGCTTTTATCTTCTCCGGGGCTTTTTTTAAAAAGAGAGGCTCCCCCCTGGTTCCCATTCCCCCGCCCCCGCGAGCTACCGGGGGAAGAGACGATCCGGCGAGCTCCAGCTAGTGCAGCCAGAGGGGCGAGCCCGGTGCCTGGCAGAGCTGGAGCGTTCCCCGGAGCCCTGCCTCGCTACCGCCCCGGCTCCAGCGCAGCCCCGGCACTCAGGCTTTCCTTTCATGGGGGGGGGGGGCGCGCTACAAAGTTCGCCTCCAGAGTTGAGTGGGGGTCCCCGCCTGCCAGCCGGGGAGCTGGGGAAGATGAAGGAGGCCCAGAAAGCGCTGCCACCGCCAGCTCTCAATAACCACCACACGCGCAAAACCAGACACACCGAAATTCTTTGCTTTTGTCCTCTCTCGCCTGAGTTCCCCTCGGAGCGCCGCTCTCTCCCCTCCGCCGTGCCCGGGCTGCTCGAGACCCCCGAGGAAAAGCGAACCCCCCAGGGCGCGCAGGCGGCGCGAGACAGGAAAAGTTCTCTCTCGAGGAGTCCCAGCGGCCCAAGGCTCCTCTGCATTCACAACCCCTAAAGGGTGCCAGCCCAGTCTCCGCGAGCCGCCTGCTGCAGGCCGGGGATGGAGCACCCCATGGAGGAGAGACACCCAGCAGCTGCGGCCCCCTTCGCCTCCCCAGGTCCAGGTGCAGCTGCTTCCTGGCTTTAGGGGCGCCACCAGCAATCCACACGCGCGCTCCCAGGGCACCTTCTCCCTCCTGTCCTGGGCTGGCCGAGGGGAAGGTGGCAAGGCGCTGCTTGGAGCCTGGAGGATGAGTTCTCGTGGCCTGTGAGTCTCTCGCTCTGTCTTTCGGGGCAGAAAGTAGAGAGGGACAGACCGAGCGCGCTCGCCGGAGCGAAGTGGGAGCCAGTCTCTGTAATGTAACTTTAACATCCCCTCCACCCACTCCGCCCCCCGCCCCCGCCTTCTCTCTGTGGACGGGGCGGGGGCGGGAGGGGAGAAGATGAAAGAGAAGCCGCCGCTCTGATTGACAGCGCATTGATAGATACTCTGGAGAGAGCCGGGAAATGGATCCGCGCAGCAGCCCGGCTTAGCTAACTCGAGTGCGAGCGGCCAAGCAGCGGAGAGAGCTGCTGCAGCCTGCTCGTTAAATACAAAGACGTCGCCTCGGCTGTCATAAGCTAGTAACGAGGAATCGGTAAAGCGATCGATTCGTTCAGTTCTAGGGCAGAAAGGAGGGAAGAGGGCAGAAAGTAAGCGATTTGGGGGGAGGGGGCAGGAAAAAAAGTAGAAAAAAATCTGTCTTTTGTAAAGTGCAGAACTGCTGTATGGTGCAAACCTTCTGCATTTAGCCAGTGAGGATTTTGCAAGTTCTCAGCATCTTGCGGTAACGTTGATTATTTTGTATAATGCAAAGCCGCAAAGGGGGGGGGGGGATCTAAAGGGAATTACTACTCTAGGGGGTGGAGGTTTATAATTCACCCAAAACGGAATACACACATCCCGAAGAGGGCAAAGAATAGTTATCTAAACATCCCCAGACAAATCTGGAACAAGGATGTTTTTAGGATGCTTTAAGACTTCCCCTTTTTGGAGGTAGGGGGACTGCACACGCATTAAATTGTTCGCAGAGGGAAAGGGGCGCTAAGTATTTTTTTTTTAAATGTTTGCAGTAATTTCAGATGAAGGGCAGAGTTATTAGATCGTCATTAAACGTAGCAAGCCAGCAACTGACTGAGAGAAGTACCTGGCTAGTAGACCTTGAACGAACAATGAGATAAACAGGCATCCGGGGCTCATGTTTCAAGTCATCAAAATAAACTCTGTCTTTTGCTATTCCTAACTTTTTTATTAGAATCAACTCTCCTCCCTATCCCATTCATTTAGAATTTGTATTGTTAGCCCTATGTATTAAACAGCGTCCAGGGTATCTGTATAAAACAACCAGCGTTCAGGGTATTTGGAAATGCACTAATATGCATTTAGTCTGATTATTCTATCTATGTGCTGTAGTGAAATCATGTTGTGCAGAACCAGCTGAAATTACTTTGGCAGTGGAAGACTACAACTCATGTTTTGTATAGACGTTGTAAAATTGATAAACATACAAGCTCAAGAACACGGTGAAATAGAAACGTAAAGATATTTTCAATCCGTTTTAAACACATTATAATTTTACGCTTTATAAGGCAAATCTTGCTCTCTGTGACATAATCATGAAAGTTAGGATGAAATTCCAAAAGTTAAATATTTTCTTTACATCATTTCCCGTGGAAACTGTAATTAAAATCCAGTGGGAATATAAAACCGACAAACCCTGATAAGAAAATAGAAAAAGAGAAATGGGGATATGTTTGTCACGTTATTAAACAAGTGCACGAAATACATTAGAAAGCAAGACATTCAAAATACAGACCCCAAAAGAAGCTGAAGTGTACAATGCGCCCATAATTAAACAAACACTCGGTGGAAGATGCTTTGAGTAAAGTAATTAAAAGGCGGTTGTTTGGAAAATAGGGAAGTTAGTGGTTATTTGTAACGTCTGAAAGTTACACCTAATTCAAATCCTATTTTCTCCTTCATGTTAATTGTTCGGACTTCCATACTCATTGCAGAACACCTCCCTTTGCTCTCGGGATTATTGCAGGCAAGAAGGATGAGTTTAAGCTACCTAATGGGACCCAATTTAGAGAGAAGGAGGAGGAGAAGATGTTCCATTTGGTGTTTTCTAGCAGGGATCTTCTATTCTGGAAAACTAACGAAGCCCATTAGATGCTCTAGGAATTTTCTTTAACATACACATGTGATTTTTAGTGGCTTGATTGTATTTATGCATATTGCTGTCCCGCTCTTGTCACACGTCCAGTTAAAGGGAACTCATGGTAGCCGAAAGCGTTCGCTTACAGATCCAGAATAAAATAGTTTTGGCATGAAGAATAAAAAAAAATCTGGAGAAGATGTTTTCAACCTTTCTATGATTAAAAAAAAATCTTGAACAGACATTTTCTGTGAGAAGACTATACTAATTGTCACGACCATTAGCATGTGGGTCTCCAATCAACATGCAAACACCCACGTATCTAATCGATTGGAATTGGCATTACATCGGGAGCGGATGTTGCTATGTTGAAATCCTTTCCAGTCCCAATGAGATGTGTCGATTTTGTTGTTTACTATGCAGAATACTGGAGGAGGATGAGGGGAGAAGTCATGTTGTAGGTTTCTTTTTACCAGGAGGTGAGATTCACGTGGCGGATTTAACAATTAGCGAGAGATTTGTTTGTGTTTTGTCCTATCTCTCTGCTTTCCTTACGTATAGGCACTGAACAGGCTTTCTCTCGGTGGAGGTCCAAACAAAAGGGGTGGTTGGAAAAGTGGAGGCATGTACAGTACACACTTCTACCGTGTTACAGAGAGAGATGCCCTTCTTCTTATAGCCAGAGGGGATAGGTGAAATCCGAACAACAGTTCCCTGCCAAATTAGTCTGCACAAAAATAAACTGTGTGTTTAATTAAAGAGAAGGGAGCTGTGTCCCTTGTTAGAGGGCTCCCCGCGCCACCTCCTCCAGTTTTTTCCCCTTCATGTGGGCTGGAGTTTTTCCCTTGGCAGTTTTTTGGTGGGAGCTTTTTAAAAGCAGAAGGGGGGGGGGAGCGTAATGATTTATGACAAGAGGATAAACTCAGGAAACCTCAACTCCAACGCCAGACTTGACTGGAGACAACACAAAGCTGTCGGTACTTTCAATTCACAGGACGGGAGGGAGAAATGGAAGAGGAGGAAAAGGCAATTTAAGTCTATTGCAAACAAAAGCAGGGATGTAGAGTTAAAATAGAGGGGGAGGGGCAGAGAGAGGAGAAAACAGAAAGATTTTAAACACGGAGACAGAACAAATCAGGTGGAAATCAGATTCCCCCTCCCCCCCAATAAACTAGGGAAATAGGCCGTATTACCCGTTACCTCTTCCCTCCCTATACACACACACACACACACTCCCGCAGCCAGACCTAATATTCTTGCGGATTTGGTCTGAAGAGTTGGTGCAATGCAAGCGAAGGAGCCAGTTCATTGTTTGACAAATCAATCACGGTGTAACTCGATACATCCTCTGAACTTTGGGGGGTCGGGGGAAGAAAGTGAGCTGCGCTTTTAATATTACTTAAGCATAAAGGACTGGATTTTTACCGCCCCAGATAATCAAGCTCAATTCGCCCTGGGGGCGGGGGAATAATTATAGGAAACATACTAATTGGTAACGGAGCTGAATAAACACCAGCGGATGGACCAGTGGGATAAATCACTGGAATGAGAGTGAGGGTATTAGCCAAGGTCTGACATCAGGATATGACTAAATCGACCCGAGGCTGTAAATCCTCTATCAAAAGATAACGAGACATTTCCAACAGCCACAAATAATAAAGAGGCGAGACCGCGACCTACTACCTTGGTAAGAGCGGAGCAACAGAAAATAGGGGGGATTACAAATGCAAATGGGAACTAAAAACCTACACACACCCCCAAATGTTAAGTTCGTAAAGTAGAAGGGCCGCCTGGAATAAGTTTGTGAAGAAAGTTAACGCCCAGCAGGGAGCCCGCCACCTTTCCCACCCTGTCAACAAATGTACATTCAAAACACAGCTTTCAAATTTGCTTCCATTCAAAATGGGGGTGGGGGAGATCATGGCAAATCTCTGGGAAGCAGAGAGACGGCAGCGATACAGGGAGAGGGGACGATGTGGAGGGGGGAGCAGGCGGCATTGCGTGAGAAGAGCCCACAGCTGAGAACCTCCCCTTAAATAGGCAGAGGGCGGGGTACGGGGAGCAGAGGGGCGGGGCGGCAGTTCCCTTTGATGTCCCGTCGGCTGCCTCTTTCATCCTCTCCCCCCCCGCCCCCCATCCCCTTTCTGGCCCCTTTGTGTGACTAAATTTGGCAAGAACATGGAGACGAGCCAGGCTTTCCACGTGTGCTCAGAGCTCCCAGCTGAGCAGGCAAGGGTTCTCTTCCGGGTAAGGAGACAGAAAGAAAGATCAAAGAGTTTGTGGAGTTGGATCTGAAATGTGCATTGGAAATAAAAATCAAGCCTTGGACGCATTCCAACCCTGAGCAGCCTGACTGAGGCACACAGAGGAGGGAGCGTTGGGCACGTGGGGTAAAATAGAAGAAATCAGAGGGGAAGAGTTATCCCCCCCCCCGTTTTTTATGGAGGTTTTGCAATTATTTTCTTAAGGAAAATCTCACGTGTATAATTACCATTCTGTGCAGCCAAATGGCTTCAGTTGGAAGTATTATTTTAGCAGAAATGTGTCTCGCCCTTTTCTCCAGATGTGACAATCGGAACGGGAGTGCTAATGAGTGAGCTTTGTTATGACTCACTGCAAAATTTGTCATCAGAGGAGTGAAATACTTTACTAAAAAAACAAAGAAAATCAACAACAACTCCCTCCCTCCCCTTTCCCCGACTCAAAGTTTAATCCGCAATGAGGGAGGGAGGGAG